TACACAATTAGAGAAGAGTGAAAAAAAAAAAAAAAAGTTATACTTTATGTTGAAAAAAGTAAAAATAAATAATTTGAATGACGCAAATAAAACGTTATTGTAATTTATAAAATGAGTTGTAAATTAAATTGTATTGAAGATGATGAAAATAAAATCTTCTAGTAGAATTACCACGTTATGATTAATATATGTATATGACATAATAATTAATAGCTATATAAATTTATTTTATATATATATATATATGTTAATAAGATTGTATCAATCATTAATGTTTATCGACTGTTGGGTTTGAGGCAATGGCAATAATGAGATTCTAACCAAGGGGCATCAATTGCTGATAGAAAACTCTTTTAATTCTATGTATATATATATATATATATGTGTGTGTGTGTACATGCAGCCGTGGGAAAAAAAATACTACAACGATTATATGAGCACCAACTTAAAGTTTCTATGTAAGAGATCTCAAGCATGTATGTTCATATATATATACACACACACACACACACTGTTTTATATATATTCTGGGTTGGATTAAACTAGGACAAATTGCCCCCAGCTCCCCCGTAAGCACAATAATATATATTACATAAATAAACTCCATAATATATTCTTTAAAAAATTATATTTCAAAATATAATTCGTTAAAAATTAAAACGTATATTTTTTATGCGATAATATAATAAAAAATAGTAAATGTCAGATATTAAACGCAAAATATGTACAATTTATTTATAATTAAAAATTAAACACACATTTCTGAAAATTAAATATAACGAATGTTGCAGCATTAATACTGCTAGAACGGTCTAAAAATACTCCATGTAAAAGATATATTTTGAGAGTGCCGACTCCATTTAATATTAATAACTTAAAAATAGGTAAAAATTAATTTGAATTACAATTTATCGAATAATATTAATAAATGAACATTTATTTATTTATTTTATCTTTTAATTTTAATAATATTTGACAAGTCTGTGTAAGGATAATTTTGTAAAATTATATGCAGAATTCTTCTTAAAAATAGAAAAAAAATTTTAAAAAAACATGTAAAATATGATTATTATGTGTTAATATATTTCAAAGGTAGAATTTAGTTTTGATTTTCTCGATTACTACTCTTCCCATGTCCCAAACATAAGCATGATAGTTGAGAGATGTGTAAATAAATTTTAAAAAATAAAATTCACACGACGATAGAACTATAATAGATTATGTGTGAAGCCATGGATGATTTAACTTACTAGTTTACTTCGTTTGCAGCTTCGTAAATCAAGTCAAATGAATTTTCTATGGAAGCATTGAACTTGTGGGGATCTATAAATCCCTTTTCTGTTCCCACTGCAACCCTAAGATTTCCCACGTAGCTCACCATTGTTATGGTTAAACTCTGGAATAATTATATTAATTAGTAACATAAATTAAGTTTATAGTAATAATAATAATGATTAAAGGTACCTGGGGAACACCAACCACCATGAAGTACAAGCCTTTAATTGGATGATTAGCTAAAGCCATTTGCTCCTGAGGACCAATCATGTTTGATATTGTCATGCTTGAGTTCTTCAGTGTCTTGTGAATGTATCTTGCTGTTGACTGTAACATAGAATTAATTAATCAACTCAAAACCCAAAATACTCTTTGACCATATTTAACTGTTTTTGATAATGAAAAGTATGTGGGTGTGTGTATATATATATACACAGATACCTCAGGGCCTCTAAATTTTCTGAGAAGCTCGAGAAGTTGACCGGTGAGGTTGACTGCAAGAGAATTTCTCTTCGTCTGGATTAATTTGCGTGCTTGGAAGATAAAGTCAAGGGGCTTATGAAGAGAGTGGAGATGAGGAATTGATACGTGAATGAAACCAAATTGATTTCCCCAAGGAGAATCAGCTTGGGGCTTGGTCATCTCCTTCACCGACTTGTAGCCACCATTGATTATCCTTGTGTTTAGTAAAACCAGTGCTGTGGAGTGCTGATGGCTGGTCGTCTTCAACTTGTTAAAATTACTTGGATCAGCTGATTGCATGTACAGTCGAGTTCCCAGGAAGATTATTCCAGCTATTACATCGTTTATTGTCTGTTGAAAAATGAACACCACACAGACACACACGAATGTAAAAGCATGTGTTTAAAATTTGTATATAAGAATATATAATCCTCGTCCATAGATCTTTATCAAAGCACATGCATTAATCATAAGGGAAAGTTTTTACTCAAATCTTTTTTACAGTAAATTGCTGGTGTTAATTTTTAAACCTAATTAATGTAAATCATTTTTTAATAAAAAATTACATAATATTTGCACGTCAATAAAAAATACAATTGATTATCTGGAAAAAAAAAAAAAAAAACAACACAACCAACCTGTTCATAAAAACACACACAAACACATGCCATGGCTAGAGTCTAAGTGATTGTTGGTGTAGTCAACCCACTTATTATTTTTTATCAGTCATTCAATTAATATCCTAAATGCATATCTGTTCGAGTAATATGTCACCCAATCCTAAATGTTTATCGGGAAACTATATATAAATGCACTCCAAGAAGTAGATGGCAAGTGAAACAAGATTAAATGACCATTTATGAGCTCTTTCAATAATATTTTTTAAAAAAAATGGGTAGTGAGATTTCATACCACTCCAAGCTTGGCCTTAATTTGTTTGATTCGATCGAGCGAAAACGTGAGTGTTAAAATGGTAACTGGCTTAAACTCTACTCCACTAGTCCCAGATCGTATAGGAGTTGGATCATCCTCTACAAAAACACTCTTCAAAACGCTCCATCCAAAATCGGACACCGTATTGAAAGCCGAGGAGAACATCTTAGGCACCTTACATAGAATGCTAGTATCCTGATGAGGGATGGTAGGTGTGGTTGATTGGAGAGAAGGAAAAGTGAGGGAAAGAGAGGGATTATCAGCTCTTTGTAGACAAGAAAGAAGAGCACCCATGAGAGAAAATCCATCGCCGAGTGCATGATGAAGTTTGAATACCAGAGTTCCAGCTGCATGCTTTGTGGGGTATTTGATGATGTGAATTTCCCACAAGGGTCGGTTCTCAGGGAACTGCTTCATTGAGATTTTTGATAAGTAATCGTTGATGTAGGTGTCGTATGATTCTGCACTGGGGAAAATTGGAACTTGAATGTGGTCTTTCAGCTTCACTTCTACTCTTTTCCATCTTTTCCCTCCATCTTTGTCTTTAACCTGCTTTTTGGGGTAAATATCAGTTGCAAGTGGGATGTATAGAAGTGTATTCACAAGTTGTACATGTCAATTTTCAGATGATATGTTCTTTCAGATTACATAATATAAACAACTATAGATACAGAGAGAAAGAGTGGCAATTACCATGATGGAGGAGAAGCGAGGATTGATGGGTAGAAAGACATTGTTGAGCAATGGCAGTGCCGTGGAATCATCAATAGGAATTTCTGATTCCAGAACAGCAAGAATACAGATTGAGAGAGCTGAACTGTTGAAGTACTGACCAGTGGGACTTACTGGTTCTTCTCCTTCTCCTCCTTCTCCTTTTGCCTTACACAACGCCATATCTATAATCCTCTGCTTCAAATGCTTATTGCACCATTGGGTTCCCGGCACACATATAAAATGTCAAACGACCAGTTAATAAAATCCATATGTCTTCTGTTGGATGGGTGTGAAGTCTTATTTTCAGCTTTAACAATCGTAAATTAATTGTGTTGTAAAGATTGATGATAAGTAGTTGATACTGATGCTCACCATCAATGCTTTATATGCCTTTCAATGTACGCTTAAAATCTCAGGTCCACCCTCCTCTCTAAAATTTGTGCTTGATGGGGAATTTGAGTTTTGATAGAGGTCTATAGAACTAAAGTAGACATATTTAGTCCTATAAAGTACAGGTGTAATAAATGGGTCTTCTTCAAAATGACAATTTACGTGATTGCATTAATAATTAGGATTAGCCATTTAAGGCGAAAATGATATTAGCAAGGTGACTAATATTAATGGTGAATAGTGGATTAAGTTGTTCTGGGGGGCTCATAACTGGGTAAGCTACATTTTTTCTTTATTTCTTGGGTAGTTCACAACGATGGGGCAGCACACCTTCTGTTTTCTTTGTCTGTTCTCGGTAACTAATGAAGCAGTTAAGTTCATTCATGGAGTTCAAAACAAAATACCAGGCACATTGAGAAAAGTGCCAAACTCATAATCAATGCTCCTGATGACCGCCTGGTTTCAGCACATTTGCAGCAGTATTTGCCATGAATCTCCACCATCGGTTTCCTTCTCTTACTGTACGCTGATTCAATGCCATGACATTTTCACTTGCAGTTACACCTTCCCGTGTAAAATTTTAAATTGATGTACTGCTTAACAAGTCATGGTAATTTATGTTTTATACAAAATAAATTTATTAAAAGTAAATTTCCAGATATTACTTTATATTGAATTGCAGCATTCAGAAAAGAAAGATCAACCAAAGCAAAGATGAGACTGAGAATACGAAGAAATGATAAGTTAATCATTAAATGGACATATCCGAGAGATGAACCACAATTTTTAACTATAACATTAAACTACAGAGGTTTTAGTTTGTACTATATTACCAACAAGGAGTTTATAGTTCTAAATTCATGATTCTCTGGGAGAGGTTCATTTCCTGGACGGACGCATATTACCACTTCCAAACCTGAAAACGTACGTTAAAAGATAAATTTAAGAGACACTTATCGTTTCTCTTCCATGCATACGACAGTATAAGGGCCTCAAAGTCTGTCCATATTTAACAAACCCTGTAATGTAGGGCCAGATTGAGCTTGGCTAGAGAGGATCCAACTACCCAACCAAAACCCAATCAACATGAACATACAGCATATTACAACCAAGATATGCTCAAAAGTTGTTGAATAACATCAGATAGTGACCTTTAATATCTAGTGTTTAGCAAATAATTTTAGAGAGGATCAGTGGGGCTGAATGAAGATTGATCTAAAAATGATACTCGATAATAAGCCTACCCTGCTCATTTTACCAACTGTAAATGAAGAAGTATCAAGTCATCCTACTAAATTCCAGTTATCAAAACTCTAGAGCAATATAGAAGATTTTGTTCATCCCGGCATAAGAACACCAAAACTTCTGGACAAATGGAGCCCTACATAGATAACAAGAAATTTTGGAAAAAAACACATTTACCTGCAGAACTAGCAGCTACAGCTTCTTCATATGCATCTGTCACAAACAACATGTCAGCTGGCTTGTCAACTCCCACAGTTCGCAACATCTCAGAGTAACTAAATGTATCTTTTTTGTTTCTGAACATGGAGATTTCGAAAAGAAAAAAGAAAACATTATATTCATGGGAGTTGACATCTGAAAACGGAGACAGAGAAGAAACTTACCCAACTGTTGTATCAAAAAACCCACAGAAATATTTTCTCAAGTTCCCAAAGTTCGAATTCGCAAACAGAAGCTGTTGTGCCTCCCTGCTACTACTCGAATAGATATACATCTTATTTTTTAAGAAATAAAAAATAAAAGCTATATTAGCCTGCCATGTTAGTTGCTGAAGCCAAACTACATCTGAAATAAAAAGTTAACTCACGAAGAAGCTATAATCCATCTCTCATGGAATCACAGCAATGTTGCTAAAATGCCTACCATGATACAATCAGTCAATTGTCCACATACTTTTGACACAGATTCACCGATCACGAAGCAGCAGGGAGGGCCTAAGTTAGGCCAGTGATACACTGGTCAAAGCAACAAAAAATAAATAGTAATTCTAATCTCCAGGTTTTATAAGAAGGATTTGGATAAGAATATATATAAATATATATACACAGTGTATATATATACGAACACACATATATATATGTCTGCATATGATTTTATCCATAATCATGCATAAACATTAATTAGAGCATCAAAAAATAAATAAATGAACCAATAGAATCAGCTATAAAGAAATCTAAATGCCCTCAAAGGCACCAGAGGATGGAATATTTTGAGTGGAATTTCTCCACATTAGTATTTCCAAAACTGCAGATCAAAGGGGAACCATTGACTTTTGTCAAAATATAATATACCTTTATGCCTGAAGCATGCCACTTCTCAAGTGCTTCTGGGACATCATCAAACACAATACCCACCAATTCGTTTCTTTGAAATCCAGATCTCCATATATGACCCTGAACATATCAACTATCTGAGACCAAAATTGCAAGGAAAGTGAAGCCCTAAAACCTGCGCCTTTAGTCATTACTTGCAGTTGATTCAGGGCAATGACTTTCCCGTCTCTTCTAATCATTGCTTCCACATCAGCAACCAAAGAAGCAATAACCTCTTCTTTCCCAAGATAATCTGGAGGGATAGGTATAGTGCCAACCAAACCTTGCTCCAAATCATTTTGAACCTGTTAAAAAAAATGTATGCTGAAATTGTTGAACGTTCATCACCTTTCATAATGATTTCTCTTTGTCTGTATTATCTAAACCATGCCCAAAAAGGTGCATCTAGATTCATTTGTTTACTCCCCACTGATTAGAAGGATAGAAAGAGAAAGTTACCAAAAGAAAACAGAACCTTAGTATATGTGTCTGAAATAAACCTAAAGTTTGTGTAGAAGTCATTTGCTAACTCACAGTTATTTTACCTAAAAGATCTCTTTCTTACATAAAGTAATAAAGACTGAGTTCAAATAAAATTTCACATGAAATTGCTTCTGAAAATTTCACATGGAATTTCATATATTACCCAGTTTTTGTATCATTCTAATGCAATTTACATATTTGCATAGTAAAATGAACAGGAATTTGCAAATAATTCCACATCATTTCAAGATTTGTTCCAAATGTGCATTAAGATTTTTTCATAAGCACCGGGAGTTTTAGGGGAAAACAGCCAAACATTAACAAGTCACTAAATAATTAAAGGAATCCCAAGTAAAAGAATATAGAAGTGATACATAAATCAAAAGCACAAGTGAATAAAACATTGTAAGCAACAAATTGCTTCAGCTCACTATCTGTAAATTCAACAAACCAAATATAGAGGTGAAAGAAACCTATAAACTGTATTTGCACCATATTCCAGTATCTAAAAGCCATACCACTACATCAGAATGGTCAATTGAAAATTCAAAGAAATATAGCTTTATTGACAACTAGTATGAAGTTTACGGAAATGAATGGGAACAAAAGAAGCTTACTTGAGCACGCAGAAGATTAATATCATCTTGAGTTTCCTTACTGTCATATGTAGCAGCTAAGTGTTTTCGTAGATTATTATGCACATACGGAAAAAGAATATTGGTGATAAATGACAAAGGAGTTGTCGTCCCTTCAATGTTCAGTAGTATCCGACACTGCAATATACAGAACATAATGTTTAAGATAATAATCTTAAATATATTGAATAAAAGAAGAGACAAAATAAGAAAATGGCACTTACTTCAGAAGTTTCAACCATGTAATCTAAACTCAAGCACCTGTATTAAGACCCCTGTTGAAATTCCCACAATATCCGCAAACTCCACCTACATTGCTACCAGGACCATGATTTGGTGTAGGCCAGTCCAAACCCAATTGATGAAGCTTAATAGCAGCATTGAAGAGATAATGATAACATTCAGCCTACCGTAAAAATATGTATATAATGAAATCAATAAAACAAGAATATAAGATAATTTATGCAGTTTATTCACAAAAACTACAAATTGTCTAAGAAAATAATGTGCAGCCAACAAAAGCCCATAGAACATACACCTATGTACCTCTAACAGCATGGTCAATTCTTTTTCAGCTCAGGCAAACAGAAATAAAGTCATGTTTAGGAGGATTTTCTCTCCATTTCTCTATCTTCTCTGAAAAGAATGTAGTACTTTTAACTTTCTCAATTCCGATTTAGGCATCCTCTGCCAGAGAATCACTCTGGCATACACACCAAAGCCCTTCATTTCTTGTGTACAGATCTATCTAAGTTCTAACATCAAGGAATAAACAGACAGTGATCGCAATCATGGTGGCAAGACGAGAAAATTTTGACCCAAACACTTTATAAGGAACACAGCTCCAGGTCAAACTACACAGAAGCAAGTATACTTTGACAGATAAGACTATATCTCACTAAAACAATAAATAAAAAATTTTTATTGAAATTAGAGAAATCTGGAAATCACTAAATGATGAGGACATATACAGCAAAATGTAATATATATAAAGTTTTAAATACTCAAATCATCCATGTACTATATCTGTTCTTTCATATAAGCTCCTATATTATTTTTTATCTATTTTAGTTTATGTACTTTTAAATGTTTTTTTGAATCTGCTCTTAACAGAATTGCAGTTAAAAATCTGTTAAAGCTTTACATGCATGGCTAATGGCACAACCATGTGAAAATTTTTTTTACTGAATGTATGTCAAACATGGCAACCACCTAGACGACACGTGGCATACGTATGTCCTATTTTTTTTTTTCTTCCCCTTTCCATCCCCTCTCTCTCTTCCATCGCACTGCCGCCATGGCCAAACAAATCCATTGTTCACAAATCCTCTTTCTTTTTCTTCTTCTCACCAGTCCCAGATCCTCATCATCATCCTCATCCTCCTCCTTTTGATTCTGACTGACCCACTTCCTGTGGATCAAGTCCTCCTATGGTTGCTTTTGATCTCTACAAATCCCTTTCTCTTTCACACAAACTCTCAACGACCACTTGCTCAAATTAAGCTCCCTTTGGTTCTGCCCACCCCACTGGTACTTTCTTTAGGTGACAATTTTGAGGAAAAGGAGAAGCTTCTTAGGCATATCTTTCTTCCTTAAAAAATGCAAGAAAGAGACGGTCTATTTTAGGGGATTCTTCTGGGCAAAACCATGCGTGGGGATTCATTGAACTGTTTCTTGAAGTGAGATGAAGAAGCATAAGCAAGCACATTCTTTTTTAATATTTTCAATTTATTTAATAAGTTCTCAGTTACGTAGATCTAATTAAGTTGCTAATTCTTTTATTCTTTTAACAATGAAAATATTATTTTTTAAAGAAAATTAAAATATAAAAATTTAAAAAGTACAAATAGATATTGCATCAGTGCCAAATATTTTAAAAAAACACGTTATGGGTTAAATCAAATGGCCCGGATATATATATATATATATATTTAATTTTTAATATTTAATATTTTAATTTAAAAATAATATATATATATATATATAACACATATAATCACTTGTCTAGATGGCTGTCACGTCATGCGCATATACGTTCAAAAAAAAAATTTAAGAAGCCACATCATTAGCCACGTGCGTAGAACTTCAATAGATTTTTATCCACCATTAGGGTTAAGAGTTCAAGAGAAAAGTACAAAAATTATAATAAAAAAAAAATACGGGTTTATATGAAAAACAAAAACAGTATTTGAACCATTTGAGTATTTAACCCCATATATATATACATATATATTCAAAACTTGTGAAATAATTAAAGCAATGAATCAAATTAAAACCCCAGAACACAAAATATTCATTATTATTTCTATAAAACAAATGGTAGCATGGATCTCACTTTTAAATTTGGCATTATTATTACCAAAGAGAACTGCTTTCAAAACCAGTTACGTTCCACTACTGAGTCATGTAACTGCCATATGTAATCTTCTTCACATAACAAACTGTATTTCCTCGACAAAAAACGAATAATAAAAATTTACTACAATAACTTAAAAATAAAAATAATTCCTCTACAAAATATCTAAATTCTACTGAATCTTCATATTCATTAGAAGTTAATCACCAAAATTGATTCTAAGATAAAACTGACCCGGGTTTTGGCAGTGATCCATGAGTCTCCCCATATATAAACCCCATGATTCCGAACAAGTACAGCTGTTGTTTTGGGATAAGCTCTAATCTATGAAAAAGAAACATTGTTAGAAATTTATTAGAGGGCTAAACCAACAAACCAACCTATGTTTCCATAGCTTGATCAATGGAAGGAGAGAATAGTGTACTATAAAGAAGTATAAAGATACACATTGGTGCTCTGATAATTTGCAGTGCACCAACACCTGGAAACTATCTATATTTTCAAAGAACTTGGGGAATATGAAACTTATTGTGCTAACAATCAGAATATCTGATTGCAATAACAAATGCAATGTTAGTATACATGCAGAGAGAAACAGAAGTCAACAAATATGTATGCACATAAGAATAGATAAAGGCGCATATATTATTCTGGATACTGAGACTGGAAAGCATGCCAACCCATACAAAGTTCTTTTGCATTATATCAACTAAAACAGAAACTACTCAAACCAACCAAGTCAACTGATGTTAATAAAAGAAATAGGAAAATGAAGACTCTGAGCTAAGCTTGACGGTACAAGAAAGCAACAACTATTTAACTAGGAAAAGGAACCGAAATAAAGGGAGAGATATTAAGAGCAAACAAAACAACATTGGATTTTTGCCAAACTCCAATTGTTTATCTTGATAAGAAAAATACTACCTTCACTTGTCCTGCAATCTCCTTCTTTCTTAGTAGCAGAGGAAAGTTCTCTGGAGAATTTTATCCAATATCCTCAGAAATGGATCCTTTCTCCACTTTTTTCCTTATCCTTTTCTTCTGGAATGAACTAGAAAAAACCTTTTATAAATCTCAGCTTTGGTGATTTCTGGTTCTCGATACTATCCTGATTAGCATCACTTCCTAAGACAGGAACATTCTCTTCTATGTAGGGAAGTTTATTTTTTTTTCTCTCCCTGTTCTTGTGATTCTACAATTTGATGAACTTCTCTTTCCTACATGGACATACCCTTTGCAACAAATTAGCGATTTTCATGGAAAAGGTTCCTCAATTTGGGTTCAATTCACCTTCCCCGAGACATTTAGTGGCATGGAATATATTAGCACCCAATAATTAGACTATATTATGGACAAGATAATGCCATAGGCCTGCATGAGCATGCCTCTATCAATATACTCCAAGCAATAAGAAAGCAATCTGCTCTTACACTAAATCACCTCCTTCAACTATCTCATAGGTTGTTTGGACCCCCTAGACCATATTTCAAGCTTCTACTCGTTGATTTAAACTGTCCAAACTGTAAAGCTTCCTACTGTGACTTTTTATAACATCATACATATACAAACTATTTGTCATCTTAAACCTTTATCCCAAAGGTATTTGCCATCATAAACTCGAAAAGTCAAATCATTTTCAGCAAAAAAATTCTGTTTTATTTGTTTTTCTGTAGAATATGAACAATTGAAGAGGCATGTAGGAATTCTCTAGGGGTAAACTCTAAAACTCACTCAGATTATACGATGTCCAATGACAAAATACATTATCAAATCGAAAGGATCATTTTTACTGGATACCATACTGAATGTACATTACTTTACCACCTTAGATAATCAACTTAAAAATATTCTAAAATCACTTCTGCAGTTAGACCTAGAAAAGAAAATACCACTTCAGTAAGAGACTCTCTGAGCTGGCTTTCATGAGCAGCATTCTCAATTATTCGCACCACAAGCTCATCATGATAACCATGTCCTGGAATTCCTTTTATCATCTCCATATCAGTAATCTGAAATTTTAAAGCAAATGTTATTGTTGGAAAACCAGCTATCAGATAGCTAATTGAAGGGAAAATAAGTGGATTTAACCAGAAGTGCCAAAATATATGGAGAAATGAAACATCTCTTTATGAATCTTCACATCATCAGTTCAAGTGAGTCCATAACCCATCAATTAATCACAGTGCAGCCACTGAAGCTAGTATTCAGAAAGAACAAACAATATTACCAGCAATAACTACTTCGCACGCTTAACAAGAATTAGACATTCCCAGAATATGATTTATATGACTGTCGAGATATCAATCCAGATTGTTCAGGCTACCCTTCACAAGTCATTTACTAGATCCAGAGATCTGTAGCATGGCATACACCTACATCCTTACCTCAAAAAGAAGAATCTTTAATATATCAAGGTTGATTC